GTAGACGCTCTGTGCCTGACTTCTCTGAATCCCAGGTGGGCCCCCTAGTGCCTGGCCTCTCTGTCTTAGGTGATCCCCCTAGTGTCCAGCGTCTCTGTCCCAGGTGGACACTGAGTGGCTTGCTACTCTGGATCAAAGGTGTGTGCCCTAGTGCCCGGCCTCTCTGCCATAGGTGGGCTCTCTGTTGTCCAGGATCTCTGTCCCAGTTGGGCCTGTTGATACCCAGTCTGTCTGCCCGAGTTGAGCTTCCTGGTACCTGGTTTCTCTATCCTTGGTGGGCCACTTTATGTCCTGCCTCTCTGTCCCAGGTGGGTTCCATGGTGCCTGGCCTTTGTGTCCCAGGTGGACCCGAGTTTGCCCACATCTCTGTCCTAGGTGAACACCCTAGTACCTGACCTCCCTGTCACAGGTGGATTCCCTGGTGCCCTGTCGCTGCCTCAGGTGAATCCACTAGTGCCTAGCCTCTCTGTGCCAGGCAGGTTTCCTGGTGCCCAGACTCTTTCTCCTAGGTGGGCAGACGGTGCCTGGCCTCTCTCTCCTAGGTGATCCCCCTAGTGCCCAGCATCTCTGTCCTAGGTGAACACTGGGTGCCTGGCTTCCTTGGATCCCAGGTCAGCCCACTGGTGCCCTGGTTCTATGTCTCAGGAGGCTCCCCCTGGTGCCTGGCTTCTCTGAATCCCAGGTGGGTCACCTGGTGCCTGACCTCTCTGTCCCAGGTGGGTTCCATGGTGCATGGCCTCTGTATCCCAGGTGGACACTGGCTACATACATTCTCTGGATCCCAGGTGTGAACCCTGGTGCCAAAACTCCCTGACCCAGGTGGGTTCCCTCATGCCTGGACTCTGTGTTCCAGGTGGCCACTGGGTACCTAGTTTCTCTGGATCCAAGGTATGTACCCTGGAACCCAGCCTCTCTCTCCCAGGTGGGCTCCCTGGTGCCTGGCCTCTCTGTCCTAGTGAATCCCCTAGTGCCTGATCTCTCTGTCACTGGTGGAGGCCCTGGTGCCCAGTCTCTCTGCCTCTGGTGAACCTACTAATGCCCAGACTCTCTGCCTGATTTATCTGGATCCCAGATGGACCCCCTGATGCCCGGCCTCTCTGCCCCAGGTGGGTTCCCTGGTGCCAGGCCTCTCTGCCCCAGGTGGGCAAGAAATGCCCAGCGTCTCTCTCCTAGGTGCACCCCTTAGTGCCTCAACTCTCAGCCCTAGGTGGGTTTCATGGAGTCCAGCTTCTCTGTCCCTGGTGGACACTGGGTGCCTGGCCACTCTGTCATTGGTGAACCCCCTTGTGCCCAGCCTCTTTGTTCCAGGTGGGTTCCATGGTGCCAGCCTCTCTGTCCTAAGCAACTTCCTGGTGCCCAGCATCTCGGTCCCAGGTGGACATTTGGTGTCTGGCTTTTCGGGATACCAAGTTGGCCCCCTAGTGCCTGGCCTCTCTATTCTAGGTTTTCCCCCTTGAGTCCAGCATCTCTGTCCCAGGTGGCCACATGGTGCCCACCCTGTCTGTCCCAGGTGGACACTGGATACCTAGTTTCTCGGGATCCAAGGTGATCACCCTGGAACCCTACCTCTCTGTCCCATGTGGGCTCCCTGGTGCCCAAACTCTCTGTCCCAGGTGGGTTCCCTGGTGCCTGGACTCTGTGTCCCAGGTGGACACTGGGTACCTAGTTTCTTTGGATCCAAGGTGTTCACCCTGGAACCCGGTCTCTCTGTTGCAGGTGAGATCCCTGGCTCGGCATCTCTGTCCTAGGTGAAACCCCTAGTGCCTGACCTCTCTGTTACTGACAGGCCTCTCTGTCTTAGGTGATTCCCCTACTGTCCAGCGTCTCCGTCCCAGGTAGGCCACCTCGTGCCCACCCTGTCTGTCCCAGGTTGACACTGAGTGCCTGGCTACTCTAGATCAAATGTGTGCGCCCCAGTGCCCGGCCTCTCTGCCCTAGGTGGACTGGCTGGTGCCTGGCCTTTCTCTCCCAGGTGGGCTCTCTGTTGTCCCGGTTCTCAGTCCCAGTTGGGCCTGTTGGTACCCAGTCTGTCTGCCCGAGGTGAGGTGCCTGGTTTCTCTATCCTTGGTGGGCCACTTTGTGTCCAGCCTTTCTGTCCCAGGTGGACACTGTGTACCTAGTTTCTCTGGATCCCAGATGGGCACCCTGCTGCCCAAACTTTCTGTCCCAGGTGGGCTCCCTGGTGCCTGGCCTCTGTGTCCCAGGTGGACCCGAGTTTGCCCGCATCTCTGTCCTAGGTGAACACCCTAGTACCTGACCTCTCTGTCACAGGTGGATTCCCTGGTGCCCAGTCGCTGCCTCAGGTCAATCCACTAGTGCCTAGCCTCTCTGTGCCAGGCAGGTTCCCTGGTGCCTAGACGGTCCCTCCCAGGTGGGCGCGAGGTGCTTGACATCTCTCTGCTAGGTGAACCCCCTAGTGCCTGACCTCTCTGCCCCTGGTGGGTTCCCTGGATCCCAGCTTCTCTATCCCTGGTGGACACTGGGTACGGAGCCACTCTGTCATTGGTGAACCCCTTAGTTCCCAACCCCTTTGTCCCAGGTAGGTTCCCTGGTGCCAACATCTCTGTCCTAATCAACCCCCTAGTGCCCAGCCTCACTGTCGCAGGTCGGTTCCCTGATGCCCAGTGTCTCTATCTCAAGTGGACACTAGGTGCCTGGCTTCTCTTGATCCCAAATGGGCACCCTAGTGCCTAGCCTCTGTGCCCAGGCCTGTCCCCAAATGTCCCGGTGTTATGATCCAGGTGCACCCCATTGTGCCCGGTCTCTCTGCCCCAGCTGGATTCCCTGGTGCCCAGATTCTATCTTTGGTGGACACTGGGTGCCTCTCTTCTCTGGATCCCAGGTGGGCCTCCAGGTGCCTGGCCTCTCTTCCCAAGTAGACACTGGGCACCTAGATTCTGACACTCCCAGATGGGTTTCCTGGTGTCCAACCTCTCTGTCCAAGCTGGAGTCCCTGGGGCCCCAGTTAATGTCCCAGATAGAGCCCCTGATGCCCTGGTTGGATGCCCCAGGTGGGCCCCCTAGTGCCTGGCCTCTCTCCCCAAGGTGGGCCCCAAGTGCCCAGCCTCTCCACCACAGGTAGGGCCCATGGGACCTGGCCTATCTCTCCCAGGTTGGCCCGTGATACCTGACATCTCTGTCCTAGAGGAACCCCTTAGTGCCTATCCTCTCTGTCCCAGGTGGGTTCCTTAGTGCCCAGTCTCTCAGTCCCAGGTGGACACTGGGTTCCTGGCTTCTCTGGATTCTACTGTTCATGCTGGTGCCTAGTCTCTCTGCCCCAGATCGGCCCCCACTTGTCCTGTATGGATGTCCCAGGTGGGTTCCCTTGTGCCCAGCCTCTATCCTAGGTGGACACTGTGTGCCTGTCTTCACTGGATCCCAAGGAGGCACCCTGATGCCTGGCCTCTCTGCCCCAGGCAGGCACCCAGGTGTCCCCGTTGGATGTCCCAGGTGGGCTGCCTAGGGCCCAGTCTCTCTGCCCCAGGTGGGTTCCCTGGTGCCCAGCTTCTATCCCAGGTGGACACTGGGTGTGTTGCTTCTCTGGATCCCAGGTGGGCCCCCTGGTGCCCAGCCTCTCTTCCCCAGGTGGGCTCTCTGGTGCCCGACCCCTCTGTCCAGGTGCGCGGGCACTCTGTCCCACGTACACACTGGGTGCCTAGCTTCTGTCAATCCCAGATGGGTTCCCTGGTGCCCAGCCTCTCTGGCCCAGGTAGACATTGGGTGCCTGACTTGTCTACATCCCAGTTGGCCCCCCTGATGCCCAAACTCTCTGTCCAAGTTGGGGCCCCTGGTGTCCTAGTTAGATGTCCCAAGTGGGGCCACGGGAGCCCCAGTTGCATGCCCCAGGTGGGCCCCCTAGTGCGTGGCCTATTTTCCCTTGGTGTGCCCAGCCTCTTCACCCCAGGTGGGGCCCGTCGGGCCCAGCCTCTCTCTCCCAGGTTGTCCAGTGCTTCACGGCATCTCTGTCCTACATAAACCACTTAGTGCTTAACCTCTCTGTCCCAGGTGGAAACTGGTGTACTGGCTTCTCTGGGTCCTAGTGGGCACGCTGGTGCCTGGCCTCTCTGCCCCAGATCAGACCCCAGATGTCCCGGGTGGATCTCCTAAGTGGTTCGCATGGTGCACGGCATCTCTGCCCTAGGTGGGCCTCCTGGTGCCCGGCCTCTCTTTCCCAGGTGGGCCTAGGTTGCCTGGCATCTCTGTCCTAGGAGAAGCCCTTAGTGCCTGACTTCTCTGTCCCAGGTGGGTCCCCTGGTGCCCAGTCCCTCTGTCCCAGGTAGATGCTCTGTGCTTGACTTCTCAGAATCCCATGGTGGCCCCCTAGTGCCTGGCCTCTCTGTCCTAGGTGATCCCCCTAGTGTCCAGCATCCCGGTCCCAGGTGGGTCACCTGGTGCCCACCCTGTCTGTGCCACGTGGACACTGTGTGCCTGGCTTCCCTGGATGCCAGGTGGGCCCACTGGTGCCCTGATGCTATATCCCAGGATGCTCCTCCTGGTGCCTAGCTTCTCTCAATCCCAAGTGGGTCCCCTGGTGCCCGACCTCTCTGTCCCAAATAGGACCCCTAGTAACCGGACTCTCTGGTTCAGATGAACCCGCTATTGCTCAGACTCTCTGTCCCAGGTGGACACTGGGTACCTAGTTCTCTGCATCCAAGGTGTGCATGCTGGAGCCCGGCCTCTCTGTCCCAGGTAGGCTCCCTGGTGCCTGGACTCTGCGTCCCAGGTGGACACTGGATACCTAGTTCTCTGCATCCAAGGTGTGCACCCTGGAACCCAGTCTCTCTGTCCCAGGTGGGCTCCCTGGTGTCCGGCATCTCTGTCCTAGGTGAACTCCCTAGTGCCTGACCTCTCTATCACTGGTGGCGGCCCTGGTGCCCAGTCTCTCTGCCTCTGGTGAACCTAATAGTGCCCAGACTCTCTGCCTGATTTATCTGGATCCTGCTGGCCCCTGATGCCTGGACACTCTGCCCCAGGTGTGTTAGTGGTGCCAGGCCTCTCTGCCTCATGTGGGTGAGAAGTGCACAGCATCTCTCTCCTAGGTGCACCCCTTAGTGTCTGACCTCTCAGCCCTAGGTGGGTTTCCTGGAACCCAGCTTCTCTGTACCTGGTGGACACTGGGTGCCCAGCCACTCTGTCATTGGTGAACTCCCTAGTGCCCAGGTTCTTTTTCCCAGGTGGGTTCCCTGGTGCCAGCCTCTCTGTCCTAAGCAACTTCCTGGTGCCCAGCATATCTGTCCCAAGTGGACATTTGGTGCCTGGCTTCTCTGGATCCCAAGTCGGCACCCTAGTGCCTGGCCTCTCTGCCCCAGGTCGGCCCCCTGATATCCAAGGTGGGCCCCATTGTGCCTGGCCTCTCTACCCCAGGTGGACACTGGGTGCGTTGCTTCTCTGGATCCCAGGTGGGTCCCCTGGTGCCTGGCCTCTCTTCCCAGGTGGGCTCCCTTGTGCCCGACCCCTCTGTCCAATGAGAATCCCCAGGTGCCCGGGTTCTCTGTCCCACGTACACACTGGGTGCCTAGCTTCTGTCAATCCCAGATGGGTTCCCTGGTGCCCAGTCTCTCTGACCCAGGTAGACATTGGGTGCCTGACTTGTCTGGGTCCCAAGTGGCCGCCCTGATGCCTGGCCTCTCTGCCCTAGTTGGGGCCCCTGGTGTCCCAGTTAGATGCCTCAGGTGGGCCCTCTAGTGCCCGGCCTTTTTTCCCTAGGTGGGCACCCTGGTGTCTAGCCTCTCCGCCCCAGGTGGGGCTCGTAGGACCGAGCCTCTCTATCCCAGGTTGGGCTGTGGTGCATGGCATCTCTATCATAGGTAAACCCCTTAGTGCCTAACCTCTCTGTCCCAGGTAGAAACTTGGGTCCTGGCTTCTCTGGATCCCACTGGACACGCTGGTGCCTGGCCTCTCTGCCCCAGGGGGGTACCCTTGTGCCCAGCCTCTACCCCAGGTGGAAACTGGGTGCTTGGCCTCTCTTCCACTGGTCGGCCCCCAGGTATCCTGGTTGGATGTCCCAGGTGGTTTGCATGGTGCAGGGCCTCTCTGCCCTAGGGGGGCCTCCTGGTGCCCAGACTCTCCGCCCCAGGTGAATCCCCTGGTGCCCGGCCTCTCTCCCTAGCTGAAGCCCTTAGTGCCTAACTTCTCTGAATCCCAGGTGGATTCCTTGGTGCCAAGTTTCTCTGTCCCAGCTAGACGTTCTGTGCATGACTTCTCTGAATCCCAGGTGGCCCCCTACTGCCTGGCCTCTCTGTCTTAGGTGATCCCCCTAGTGTCCAGTTTCTGCATCCCAGGTAAGCCACCTGGTGCCCACCCTGTCTGTCCCAGGTAACACGGAGAGCCTGGCTACTCTGGATCAAAGGTGTGCGCCCTAGTATCTGACCTCTCTGCCCTAGGTGGACTCGCTGGTGCCTCATCTTTCAATCCCAGGAGGGCTCTCTGTTGTCCAGGTTCTCTGTCCCAGTTGGGCCTGTTGGTACCCAGTCTGTCTGCCGAGGTGAGCACCTGGTGCCCGGTTTCTCTATTATTGGTGGGCCCCTTGGTGTCCGGCCCCTCTGTCTCAGGTGTGTTCCATGGTGCCGAGCCTTTCTGTCCAAGGTGGACACAGTGTACCATGTTTCTGTGGATCCAAGTTGGGCACCCTGCCTCTCTGTCCCAGGTGGGTTCCCTGGTGCCCGGACTCTCTCTCCTAGGTGAACCCCCTAGTGTCTGACCTCTCTGCCCCAGGTGGGTTCCCTGGAGCCCAGCTTCTCTATCCCTGGTGGACACTGGGTACCCAGCCACTCTGTCATTGGTCAACCCCCTAGTGCCAACCACTTTGTCCCAGGTAGGATCCCTGGTGCCACCTCTGTCCTCAGCAACCCCCTAGTGCCCAGCCTCACTGTCACAGATGGGTTCCCTGATGCCCTGTGTCTCTGTCTTAGGTGGACACTGGCTGCCTGGCTTCTCTTGGTCCCAAGTGGGCACCCTAGTGCCTAGCCTCTGTGCCCCAGGCCTGTCCCCAGATGTCCCGGTGTTATGACTCAGGTGGGCCCCATTGTGCCCGGCCTCTCTGCCCCAGATGGATTCCTTGGTGCCCAGCTTCTATCATAGGTAGACACTGGGTGCCTCTCTTCTCTGGATCCCAGGTGGGCCCCCAGGTGCCTGGCCTCTCTCCCCCACGTGGGCTTCCTGGTGCCTGACCTCTCTGTCCAAGGTGAAGGCCCTGGTGCCCGAACTCTCTGTCCCAGGTAGACACTGGGTACCTGAGTTCTCTGAATCCCAGGAGGTCCCACTGATGCCCTGACTCTCTGCCCCAGCTGGGGCCCCTGGGGCCCTGGTTAGATGTCCCAGATCGGGCCCCTGGTGCCCCGGTTGGCCCCCTACTGCCTGGCCTCTCTTCTCAAAGTGGGCCCCCAGTGCACAGCCTCTCCACCACAGGTAGGGCCCTGGGGCACGGCCTCCCTCTCCCAGGTTGGCCCACGGTTCCTGACATCTCGGCCCTAGAGGAACCTCTTAGTGCCTACCCTTTCTGTCCCAGGTGGATTCCCTACTGCCCAGTCTCTCTGTCCCAGGTGGACTCTGGTTGCCTGACTTCCCTGGATTCCAATGGGCATGCTGGAGCCTGGCCTCTCTGTCCCAGGTGGGCACCCTGGAGCCCGGCCTCTCTGTCCTAGGTGGGCTCCCTGGTTCCTGGACTCTGTTTCCCAGGTGGACACTGGGTACCTAGTTTCTCTGGATCCAAGGTGTTCACCCTGGAACCCGGCCTCTCTGTCCCAGGTGGGCTCCCTGGCCTCCGTGTCCCAGGTGGACCTGAGTTGGCCCGCATCTCTGTCCTATGTGAACACTCTAGTACCTGACCTCTCTGTCACAGGTGGATTCCTTGGTGCCCAGTCGCTGCCTCAGGTGAATCCACTAGTGCCTAGCCTCTCTGTGCCAGGTAGGTTCCCTGGTATCTCTCTGCTAGGTGAAACCCCTAGTGCCTGACCTCTCTGCCCCAGGTGGTTTCCCTGGAGCCCAGCTTCTCTATCCCTGGTGGACACTGGGTACCGAGCCACTCTGTCATTGGTGAAGCCCCTATTGCCCAGCCTCACTGTTGCAGGTAGAATCCCAGATGCCCAGTGTCTCTGTCTCAAGTGGACACTGGGTGCCGGGCTTCTCTTGGTCCCAAGTGGGCACCCTAGTGCCTAGCCTCTGTGCCCCAGGCCGGTCTCCAAATGTCCTGGTGTTATGACCCAGGTGGGCCCCATTGTGCCCGGCTGCTCTGCCCTAGCTTGATTCCATTGTGCCCAGCTTCTATCATAGGTGGACAATGGGGGCCTCTCATCTCTGGATCCCAGGTGGCCCGGTCTCTCTTCCCTAGGTGGGCACACTGGTGCCTAGCCTCTCTGCCCCTGGTGGGGACCGTCAAGCCCAGCCTCTCTCTCCCAGGTTGGCCTACGGTGCATCATAGGTAAACCCCTTAGTGCCTAACCTCTCTGTCCCAGGTGGGTTCCCTCGTGCCAATCTCTTTGTCCCAGGTGGAAACTGGGGTCCTGGCTTCTCTAGATCCCACTGGACACGCTGGTGCCTGGCCTCTCTGCCCCAGATCGGCCCCCAGGGGTCCTGTTTGGATGTCCCAGATGGGCCCCCTAGGGCCCGGCCTCTCTGCCCCAGGTGGTTTCCCTGGTGCCCTACTTCTATCATAGGTGGACACTGCGTGCCTCTCTTCCCTGGATCCCAGATGGGGCTCCACTTGCCTGGCTTCTCTTCCCCAATTGGGCTCCCTGGTGCCTGGCCTCTGTGTCCCAGGTGGACCCGAGTTTCCTGGCTTCTCTGTCCTACGTGAACACTCTAGTGCCTGATCTCTCTGTCACAGGTGGATTCCCTGGTGCCCAGTCGCTGCCTCAGGTGAATCCACTAGTGCCTAGCCTCTCTGTACCAGGTAGGTTCCCTGGTGCCCGGACTCTCTCTCCCAGGTGGGCGCGAGGTGCCTGGCATCTGTCTCCTAGGTGAGACCCTTAGTGTCTGACCTCTCTGCCCCAGGTGGGTTCCCTGGAGCCCAGCTTCTCTATCCCTGGTGGACACTGGGTACCCAGCCACTCTGTCATTGGTCAACCACCTAGTGCCAACCACTTTGTCCCAGGTAGGATCCCTGGTGCCAACCTCTCTGTCCTCAGCAACCCCCTAGTACCCAGCCTCACTGCCTCAGTTGGGTTCCCTG